AACTCCTATAGGAGACCCTCTTCTATAGGCTGCAAAGGATGGTGGGAGAGTCTGGCAGAGATTCCAGAAGCTGCCTGCAGACTGCCCTCCATGTTGCCCCAGCTGCCTCTATCTCTAATCTGGAGTGACAGAGACAGGAAGGGGTGGCAGAAGGGACTCATGTGATCTAATGCCTGCCTGGGGGAAGGGGGGCATTGCTGATGGAATCCAGCTGTTTTGCCACCTGCCAATCACCATCACTAACACCCCCAGCTTGAGGGGAGGGTATCCGGAGCAAGGTAGGAGAGGAAGGTATTTCATGCCCATTTTGCACGGATTGGCTAGGGTGGGAGATGGAGTCCAGGCCAAGACAGAATAGCACTGTGGTTCCCGAAGTATGGTCTCTGGACCCGTAGCATCGACATCATCTAGAGCTTTTTAGGCTCTTGGCCCCTTGCAGGAAAGATGGTGTCCTTCTGTGGGAAGGGCAACAGTATGGGACACTTCTGGGCTTAAAGAACTCCCCAGCCCCACTCCTCCGGCTTGGTGTGGAGATTCTATGAAAGGGACTTTTTACTGGAAAGAAAACATTTATTTATTGAGCATGCACAGCGTCCAAGAGTGGAGAAACACTTCACGAGCACTTCCACATTTAAGCCTCAACAGCCACCCTCGAGATTGCTATTATTTTTATTATCATGATATCCTTTTTTTTTTTTTTTTTTTTTTGTGGTACGCGGGCCTCTCACCGCCGCGGCCTCTCCTGTTGCGGAGCACAGGCTCCAGACGTGCAGGCTCAGCGGCCATGGCTCACGGGCCCAGCCGCTCCGTGGCATGTGGGACCTTCCCGGACCGGGGCACGAACCCGTGTCTCCTGCATCGGCAGGCGGACTCTCAACCACTGCGCCACCAGGGAAGCCCCATGATATCCCTTTTAAGGGCTCAGTCTAGAGGGGTTAAGTACCTTCCTTGGGTCACAAGGCTCCCAGGAGGCTACTTGGTCTGTGTGATTCTCAGAGCACCCTGACTTCTTCACCTTTATGCTAAACAGTGGTTCTCAAACTGAAGTGTGATTCAGAATCACCTTGAAGCCTTGACAAAGCGAACTGCTAGGCTCATCCCCCAGAGTTTCTTACTCAGTAGATCTGGGATGGGGCCCCCAACACACATTCCTAACAAGTTTCCAGATGCTGCTGCTGCTGCGGTTCCAAGGACCTGCTTCGGGAACCACCGTGCTGGGCGGGGATCCAGCTCCCCGCCCTACTCCACCCATGCAAAACTGGCACAATCATACCTTCCCCACAATGACGTCCTTGTGAAATGCCAGTGAGATAATGGGAGTGAAAGAGCTTTGTCAGCTGCACAGATCAATGGTTCTGGTCATAACCCAGGGACCTGACGTTGGTCCCTGGGGTCTGGGTGTGTGGAGGGCTGGGATGCAGGTGGGGGTACCACAGCCATCCGGAGATCTTTTGCAGCCCATCTTAATTCTGAGCCACTTCCTCTCAAGGGAGAAAGCCAGCTTCTCAGGGATGGAACAGCAGCCCCTGCTGCCCCCCAGCTCATCAACCCATGCCTTCTCCTTTACCTCTGGCAGCCTGCTAGCACTGCCTCGGCAGACGGCTGGTCCGGGCTACTCCTCCAGGGGCCAGTCCAGGCAAGCTGGTGCAGCATCAAGCCTTGTGATTCACGGCCTGGGACTGGGTCCTGCTCACCAGCCTTGTGAGACTCAGAGGCCGTGACTTCCCTTCTCTAAGCCTCAGGTTGCTCGTTGGTAACATGGGTGCAACATCTGCACAGAGCTGTGCAGACTCAACGGCCAGGACTTTTAAAGTACGTTTCTAAGCCACAGCTTGGCGCACAGCCTGGCCCCTGGCGCAAGTCCAATCAGTGGTAGCTGTTAGTATTTTCAAAAAGTGCCTGGGCCCAAGCCACCTCCTGGTAGAGGCCCGGACTTGGAACGCAAACCGCTCCCACGCCGTTCCCCGGTTGCACCCGGATACACCCGCCCCGGAATGCCAGCGTGGGGATCCGGAGGCCTGCCTGCCTCGGGTAGGGTTGCCAGTGTAGGGCAGGGCAAGATTAGGGAGGCGGTGAAGCGAGGAAGGGGCGTTCCTGGGGAGAGGCCTCCTACTAGGAGGGCCGGGGGGCGGGGATAAGCCCGGAGGAGAGGGAGTCGGAGGCGGGGGTGGTGGGAGGGCCTAGGGAAGTGGCCAGCGGCCTGGGAGGAGCGTGGGAAGGCTGAGGAAGGCCGAGGAGGGGCGGGACCGTTAGGAAGCGCTGGGAGTGAGGTTTCCCACCCGGCAGGGCTGAGGCTCATGCCCACCCAGACAAGGCTTTATCCGGGCAGGGCCCGGGGCCTGGAGGGGCGCAGAAGACCCGGCCGAGGAGGCAGGCCCAGGGAGGGCCCCATCCACAGGGTGAAGTTGGGCCGTAGCGGGGCGGGGCGAGGGGCGTAGCTCCATCCCCCGCAGGACCCGGGCCGGGGCTGGCCGGTTAGAGCAGGGAGGCCGTAGCGGACAGAGCCCGATCCGGCTGGAAGCCAGTCAACATTCCTGCAGGGTCTGGGGGCGGGGCTGGCGGGCCCAAGTCAGGAGGCCGAGGGGGTGTGTCTGGGGCGTGGCCTCCGGAGGGCGGGGCCTGGCCGAAGCCTCTGCGTTCCCAGACGACTGCCGGGAGGGCGACGATCGAGCTACTGAACCCAGGGCTGCGCAGTCGGACGCTGACTGGGACGCGAGCGGGTGACGCCAGGCTTGCAGCGCGGAGCAAAAAACAGAGCCAGCAGGTGAGAAGGGGGTGGGGGGAGGCCTGCCGGCAACCACGAGCAAAGTTAGTTTTCGTCTCCACTTCCAGAGGCCGCTCGGGCAGTTTTCTCGCAACAAGTGACAGGTCGGGCCAAGAAGGCAGCTGGTGGGTGAGAAGGAGCTTAATTAAGTTCCCAAGTCCTGACCCCCAGTTCTCCGGCTCCTCCGTGCTCCAGCTGTGTGACCCCGGGCGCGTCCCCCCACCTTACCCTGGACCTCTCGGGTTCCAGTAAAAGGAGGAGGTTGGACTAGGTGGACTCCGTGTTCTTACTGCCCTTTCTCACTGAAACCCCGGAAGGTGAGGCTGGCAGGTGAGAGCGGACTCAACAGGTATTCGGATTGCGTCGCCCAGACTACAGTTTGTCTCCCTGCAGAGTGACACTGAGCAAAGTGAACTCTGCGAGCGTGAAGCGAATTGCTTTAAAGGTCACACTAGTTCCTCGCGTGGGACTTGAACCCACAGGCCTGGGAACCGGGGGCAGAGCCGGGGGGGTGGGTGTGGGGTGGGTGTCCAAGTCAGGGAGGTTTCAGCCTCCCCTTCCCCCCAGCTCTGAGAGCCTAGTAAGACTTGGGGTGGGAAACTCAGCAGGGCATTTGTCCCCCTCCCAGGGCTTTTCCAAGTGAGCTGGCTTGGGAGGCCCCTGGCGGAAACTAGGGGACAAGTTCTTATCCGGGTGAGTGGGGAAGACAAGGGCCGCAAACATTGGGCCCAGAGTCAAGCCCAGAGCCGGGGTTCTTGCTGCATGCCCAGGGTCCCTTCCTTGGGCTGGAGGTTTCTGTCCCTGGTGGCGGTAGGTGCTCTGTGCCAGGGCCATAGTAGTTGGGCAGCCTAGTTCAGTGGTCAAGGACTTGGGACCAAATTTGGATTCCACTCCCCCTTCAAGCTTCAGCTTCCTCGTCTGTTAAATGGGGGTGGAGATGGTACTCAACGGTAGCAGCGAGGACTTAATAGGATAATGTGTATATAGTGCTTAGCAAGGCGCCAGGCACCCAGTGAGGCCTCATTGTATGACAGCTGCTCTGATGTGGATGGGCAGGTGATAGACTGGCTTCCTGCCTGGGAATGAGACTGTTTTTGGAGGGCTGGCTGCAGCTCCTCTTGACCTTGTGAGAGCCAAAACTTGCCACCTGCCACCAGCATCACTTTGTCCATTTTGGGGTTGGGGAATGTGTCATCTGGACCAAAGAGTAGCTGAGTTTTCAGTAATATTGCTTGCAGTTGTTAGGTGACCCGTTAAATAAACCCCCAAATGTTTACTTAGCACCTACTATATATTAGATGGAGCTAGGTGATACAGAGGTGAACTAGCCTCTGGGTTCTGCCCTCATTTTGAGTTGCTGACAGTGAAGTCCCCATCCCCACCATGCCTCTGCTGGAGAGGATAACTCACACCCAGAGCTCAAGGCCAGATGAGGTCTCATGGGTTTGTACTGCTCTGGTGGCCAGAATCCAGCTCTTCCATTGCATGCTTGGCTCAGGGTGGAGGTGAGGGCCAGTGTGGGCACCTTTTATCTGTTTGATCAGGGTTGGGCACTGAAGGTGGCTGGCTCCCTGCATCTCCTGGGGAGATGAGCCCTACACTGTGGAACCAGCTGGAAAACACTGTGGGACAGAGTTTGACTGAGGGCTGTGCTATGTGGAGGAAACAGCGTGTGTATGTATGGGAGGGTGGTGCTCAGGGCAGGTGAGACACGGGAGAAAGGGAGGTGGTGAGACTTGAACAGGACTTTCTGCCTGGGATCCCAAGTCCTGGTTGGGCTTGGATCAACTTGGGGCCCCAGACTCCCCTCTCCAAGCATTTGAGTGGCTTAAGGTTAGAGTTTGGTCTGGTGGGGAGGGAGAGGGGTCAGTAGGTGTTGCCTGTGAGGGGGGCAGGGAGGAGATGTTCATTTCCAACAGTGCTTAGTAAACATCTACTGGAAAGTCCTCCTAGCACCCCTCCACCCCACGTGATGAATGACGGACGATGACACACTGACCCCATCCTTAGTTGCTTACCATCTGGTGAGGAACTTAGACAAGGGGACTCTGATAGGAGATAGATGAAGGGTCAGAGGGATCTTTAGGAAAGCTTCATGGAGGAAGTGGAGTTTTGGGTGGGCCCTAAAGATTGCAAAGGTTTCAGTAGCCACAGCAAATATAGTGTTTTGGGAAGAGGAGGATGCCGAGGGGAAGGCAAGGAGGTCAGTGTGTTCAGGGGATTTTTTTTTTTTCAACCTTGTTTGAAAGTAGCCCACATACTATATAGCAGACACTATGAGCACAGCTTCGGTACTTTTACAACCACCAAGACCAGGGTTCAGATCCGATGGGAAAGGGAACCAGAGGGTTCAGGGGATTTTTAGGAAACTGCTAGATTGATCAGTCTGGCTGAAGAGCTGGGACTGTGCAGGGATGCGAAGGGGGAATGGTCGGTTGGATCAACTTGTAGAGGACCTTGAATGCCACGGTGAGATGTTTGGATTTGATTTGTAGAAAGTGAGGGCCGCTGAAGGTTTCCGAGCAGGGGAATGACATAGTCAGGGTGGCACTTTTGGAAAGATAGTCTTGCCAGATGTGCTGGGGTGCAGGACCCAGTGGTCAAGGGATAACGAACCGATGGCTGTGATGATGGGGAAGCAGGGGCCTGGGGGACTTTGGGGATGTCTGCAGCTGGGGGATAGGAAAGGCGCTGTTGGAGGGGAGGGGGAGCAAGTGTCCCAGTGGGTGCCCTTTGTTTCTTTCGATCCCCCATGGAGCCTAGACCCTGGTGCATAGCAGGTGCTCAGGAAGGTGGCTGGATTGGGTGGGTAAAGGCACTGGGGAGGGTGACAAGTGCTACAGAGTGATAGAGAGGGAGCCGCCCAAGAAGGCTGTGTGTTTGCCCATGAAGGGGAGGCCTCTGGGCCGAGTGGAGGGAACTTGAGCCAGTCAGCAGGGCCTGGGGGGGCGGGAGAGCAGGGCAGCTGGAAAGAAGTGCCTGCAGCTCTTCCCTCTCAGTCCCAGCCCAGGGAAGGCCAGGGTGAGAGGTTAGCCAGCGGGGGCACAAAGTTCCCACATGCGGCAGGGGGGTGGATTTTGGGTTCCTCCAGGGCTCCTCTGAAGTTCCTGCAATGTGGGGCAGTCCCCTCTCTCTATGGCCTCAGACTTTTGAACCACTTCCTGGAAGCGCCTCACCCCCTTCTCTTACCCTCCAACCCTGGGGATGCAGCCCCTGTTCACCCTGAGGACCAGACAGCCCCTCCTGGCCCAGGGCAGAGCAGCCCCAAGCCCCGAGCATTCCTTTCGATTTGGAACATCTGGGGCCAGCTGACACCCCCTGGTTTTGGCTCAGCTTTGACCCCCCGCTCCAAATCTTTAAACCCACTTCCTCCACCCCACGGGAAACTCAGGGGGCGGTTATGATTGCACGGAAGAATCAAACAGTCAGGAGCTGGCTGTGTGAGAGGCGGGCGGGAGGGAAGAGCCTGGGCCCCTGTGTGCGACAGGCCGGGGCCAGGGTTGGGGGTCCGGTTTAATCTCAGCAGGAACTGCCCTGCCCACCGGCTTCCCCTCCTCTAAGCCTGGATCTGAGGGGCCAGGAGGGAAGCCTGGAGGTAAACATTGGCCAAGCTTCATGCTACACTTGCTTCCCTCTTCCCTTCGGCCCCTGATGCTGCCTGTGAGGAGGCCAGCCACAGGCCCAGGGCCTCTGTGACGGCCCCGCTGGTGTCTGGGGGCTGTCTGGCTCCTGACTCAGCCCTGGGGCTCCCCCTACACCGTGGTTTTCCTGTCAGCAGCTGATTCACTCTGTACTCACACGGAGACGCAGCTGAGGTGAGGGAAGAGGCCTGTCTTCTGGTTCTTAGGGTTAGTGCCAGCTCTTCCGTTTACAGGCTGTGTGACCTTTCATGAGTTCCTTCTCCTCTCTGGGCTTTCCTTCCCTCCTCTGCTAATGGCCTATTCTTTACGTGGCTCTCAGGGGATTCTGTAACCTGGACTCTGTCGTTTGTAAAGTAGGGCACATGTGAGTGCACACACACACACACCACACACACACACACACACACACACACACACAACACAGGGTCTCAATACAGAGTGGAACTGGACAATTCCACCTCCTAACCTTGCCTGCCCCCCACCTGAAGCACCCTTGTCTACCTTCTGTCTGTCCACAGCTTAGGGAGATGGTACAGCATGGTGGTGAAGAGTTGGGGACTTGGAGCAAAATCTTGGCCCTGACCATTCCTAGCTATTTGACCCTTTCTGAGCCTCAGTTTCTGAATCTCTAAATTGGGGATAATAATGGTAACTACTTCATAGGGTGACGTGAGGATAAAACAAAGAAGTGCATGTGTTGGGGCTTCCCTGGTGGCGCAGTGGTTGAGAGTCCGCCTGCCGATGCAGGGGACACGGGTTCGTGCCCCGGTCCGGGAGGATCCCAGATGCCGCGGAGCGGCTGGGCCCATGAGCCATGGCCGCTGAGCCTGCATGTCCGGAGCCTGTGCTCCGCAACGGGAGAGGCCACAACAGTGAGAGGCCTGCGTACCGCAAAAAAAAAAAAAAGTGCATGTGAAACGCTTAGCAATTTTCTACCTACACATGGTGTATCCTCCATGAATGAGAGCTGCTGCTGCCCTTATTTTCTGCACCTGGCCAGTCTTCAAGGCTTATACTAGGCTGCTTCTCAGGCTCCCAGAGACATTCTCCAGAGCGCCAGCCTTCCGTATGGGCCCTCTGTGCCTCTCCAGCGTGTGTGTACGTGCTCCAAGACACCAGTCATTTCCACCTGCGTGGTGCTCTTCCTGGGGGTGGCTGGGTCTCCCCACCGTGACTCTGAGCTTCCTGAGGGGAAGTAGGTCTGAACGTCAGTGGCAGACTTTCTCCAAAACCCCTCCTTTCCCTTCCCCTCTTTCCTCTGCGCTTGCCTACACTGAGTACTTGCCTCTTTGCTGCTGTTTGGTGGCATATGGAGTATCTCTGTGAACCCTCCCAGCCAGGGACTGCCCCATCCATCTCTGTGTCCCGACTCCTGGTACAAGGCCTGGCCCACAGTGGGCACTTAGGAAATGTTGGTTGAATGAATAAGTGATTCTCCTCAGGGTGGCCCAGTAGGACCCAGTTCAGAGCCAGATCCTCGGTGGCTCCTTTTGGCAAAGGCGGAGCTGGGAAGCAGGGTCTGGATGCCCCTGCCTTGCCCTTCAGGCCTGCCCGTCCCGCGCCTGCAACCGGGGTCCAGGGAGGTGGGAATGGTGTGGCTGGCCTGGGATTTCTTCAGCCCGGGCTCCGGCTTCCCTCATGAGGCCCAGCCTTTCCCCTCCTGAGAGGGGAAGAGCCCAACTTCCTCCAGCCCCAGCCTGTGGGAGCCACTCTGGCCCTTAGTGAAGCCCGACTCAGCCAGAAAAGGCACGTTCAGGTCGGCAGTTATTTGTGGAAGGTGTTCCTGCCCCGTAAGGCGTGGGCACGGGGCTGGGGGATGGGAGGATGCCCTCCAGGAGGCCCACCCCTGACATTATCCCTGGAGACCACCAGGTGGGCAGCTCTGGGGGGCCCCGCCACTCTCTCCTCTGGCTTCTTTCCTGGAAGTGGGAGCTTCTGCCTTTCTTTGGGCCCCACCCCTGACTTTCCCTTCTGTGTCAAGAGGTGATCTGGGGTGGGAGTTCCTGAAGATTCTGGATCTAGGCTCATAGGACCCATGCAGGAAAGTGGACGAAGTGCCAGAAGCTGGGCATTAGGAAGCCTGGGTTCGGCTCCTGGCTCTGCTGTGACGTTGCAGAGTGAGCTGCTCCAGGGGAGTGACCTCCTAGGACAGTTTGCTTACTCCTCAGGCAGAAATGCTCCAGAAGCCTGCCTGGGGTCCAGCTGGCCCTGGCCCAGGAGAGTGGAGGACGAACCATAGGCGATGTCGTGGACTCTGGAATCAAACTGCCCAGGGATGCTCATTTCTGCCTCTGCTCTTTACCTGCTGGGTGAGACCTTAGGCAAGTGTCTTAACCCCTCTGTACATCAGTTTCAGCATCTAACATGGAGTTGGTTATAACACTTACTTCATAGGGTTGTTTGAAAATGATACGAATCAATGTACGTGAAGCGTTTGTGAGACGTGCCTGGCACATAGTGAGTGCTTTATATGGACCAGATGTTTTGGATAGCATTGCTATTATTAATAGGAAGCAGGATTTAAGTCTTTGGGGGCAGTCTTTGGTGAATGGCTTGAGTCTGGGAATTTGGAGACCTGGGTTCTGATCCCAGCTCATCCTTTACTTGCCATGTGACCTTGGGCAAGTTGCATCCCCTTTTGGGCTGCAAAACTCTATTATCCTGCATTTGCTGCACTTGGCTATTGTAAGACAGGCACATGTGATATCACAGTGCGGAGCTGCAGGGTTTTATTCAGGGAAAGGACTTCTGGGTGCCCAGCCTGTTCTCCTGCCCTGAGACAGCCACAGTTAGGTGGGCAGGTTCCCACACTGTCACAGAGGTACTGCAGACACAGAACGACAGGGCAGCCCCCCCGCAATGGCACTCAACAAGGCTAAAAAGTAGGTGAAACATTTAAATATACACATAATGGTATTATCTAGATCACATTACAGACTTTTTTTTTTTACTTTTCCCCATTTTCTGAATCTTCAGCAGTAAGCCCATATTATTTTTATGCTCAAGAAAGAAAGAAAGAACACACTTACACAATAAAGCTATCAAAAAACGTACTATATATATTTAAACAAAAATGCATTATATGAACGTGGGATCATATTGAAGTTCTTGTTGTTGTTAATAAATCATATTTATTTCAAAAGGGGGTCGGGTGTTGCTTTGAAGTGAATGTCAATTTGTCAAGCCTCAGAAGACTGAGTGTCTTTGGAGGGAGACAAGAGTCAGATTCTGAATGGGATCATAATCCAGCTTCCATTGTGGTGGACACACCCCAAGTGCCGCCTGGTGTTTAGAAAGCTTTTCAACAATCCTTGACGCCGACGGGCTTACTTTCTTCACGTGTAAAATGGGGATAATAATAAGACATAATTCAGAGCGGTGCCGTGAAGGTTAAAGGACTTGTTTAAGTTGCGAGGGAAGCCCTCTTCTTCTGAATTTGGAACCAAGTGAAAAGAACAGTTGACAAAGATGGAGCTCCAAAGGAAGCCCCGAGAACGTGGCTTTAGATCCAGTCCCCAGAGGGCTGGCTAACCGTCTGCCCTGGAACTGGCAGAGTTACGGTCCGGTCACAGGCAACTCTGAACAGGGGCCAGCCTCCCTGCAGGGCCTGGTATTATGCAGAGGAGCAGCCCGGAATGAACACTGCCTGCGGGCAGCCGCCGAGCGTGCCCAGTACGTCTCCCAGATGAACCAATCAGATAACCCACTG